TCTGATAGTGCATTATGTTCATTCTCCAAGACAAGAGGTTTTTTTTGTCTTTCGTACATTTGACACTGACATTAGTTCTGAATAAAATTGCAGCACTTTTGTCGTTGATTCTGTGCATGCATTTGTTTTTGGTGTGTATAATTTATGAATGTAGAGGGAGTAAACAGCCTCCACTTTGGTGACATGGTTTTGCACTTTGCAGACACACGTGCAGTTCTTGTGTCAATCAATTAACAACCACTTTATAGGTTTTGTTTTCTCCTTTCCTTCCATTGTTGTTTCTTTTTCTTCGGTTTGTGGTTTAAATATAACTTTGATATAATAACAAGCAGGAAGAATAACATCGAAAACATTGTGGTCTTGAATTCTTAACTAACATTCTGAGACCCCAGATCTTGGACAAAAATATATATATATTTTAGTTTTCATTTTAAGTTTTAACTTGCATTTCAGTGATGATCTAGAAGGGCTCCATGCAATGATTTAAGCTCCCTAATCGTTTGTTTTTACGATCTGGAGAGTTGTCTTGAAGATTTGAAAGTACATATTTAGAGTTTAAATAATGTTTCCACATTAGTGCAAATATTTTCTCCTCCATTTGAAATAATATCTTCCACACAGACGTGCAAGCACAGAACAAAAGGTTTGTGTTGCTAAATGTCTGTTTAACGGACAGGCATGCAAAAAAAACAATGCCCTAAGTCAGGAAACTATAGATTGGTTTGGCTCCTCGGTGGATTGGGCACAGACCACCCCACACGGAGCTCCAGCCTGCCAAAAGGCTGTCATGTTAAGATTTTTAAGACTGGATTGTGAAACTTTGATGTACTAAAATCTTGGAAAGGCTGGTGAAACAGGCTGGACCAGTCGCTGCTGGTTTTCAGCATTTTTTCTTGCCTGTACATTTTCTCAGGGCTCTCCGGCTTCCTCTTTGTTTTTTAGGAAAAAAACCTCCCTGGGATGATGGGTAACAGCTATTCATAGGATATGTTTGGTGATTTTCATAACTGGCTAGGCTGGCTGCATTGTAATGATGCTTTTCGGGGTAATTGTTGCTGGGAAAAGACTGAAACCGTGGAAGTATTTTTAACAGCATAAAATTCCCCACAAACCGTGGAAATGATCACATCAATAGGTAAGTAATCACTTCCAGATGTGAAAATGGATCCTCTGACTTTATGTTCC